ATGACCCCAGAACAGTCATTTCTGCAGCTCAGCTGAACTCTTCTTTGACACCTGAAACCTTGAACACAGTTAACTGCAAAGAAATTAGGGTTCAGGGCAAAAACAGCCCGTTACGGCGACGACTCTGCCGGGTGCAAAGATCTGCCTGCATCTTCTTCCGTTATGAGGTGCCTCGGAGTCCACGCTCAGTTTATCATTTTATTCAGAGGCCCAAGTTAAATTCTCTTCCCTTTTTTTATTTCATGGAAATCCCAGTCGGTCAGACAGACGCACGGAGGTTTGCGCCAGCCTGGGGCCAGGCTGGGCAGCCACGCCATGGGCAGGCAGGAGCAGGGGTCTGTAGGCCCGGATCTGGCGCTGAATACTGAGGGCACCCGGGAGACAGCCATTTGGAAGGGAAGCGCCCCCAGGCCTGCGGGCGGCTAAGCCTCCTGCGCAGACTCGCAAGCTCCATGAGCACAGGCCCTGGCTGGACAAAGCAGCCTCGGGGTCCTGGCTCTCAGGGGGAGCAAGAAGTGCTCGTCACGCCCGCTGCAGGGGAGCTGCTGCCCCGCGGTGCCAGGAAGGGGGGCTCTCGCAGGGCTGGAGAAGTGCAGCCAAGCCGGTCCCCTTGCCTGGGAGCAGCTGCCGTCCTCTGGCACCTCCCGCCAGAGCACCAGCACCAGGGCCTCTTGGACAGCCTGCCAAGGGCTTCTCCAGAGACTCCGCCTTCCTGGCCAGGGAGCCAACCCCAGCCGGCCCATTCCCCCAACACAGAGACAAAGGCTGGCGGGTCAGACTGAGGGTGGTCGCCCTCCCTCCGCTAGGGCCACTGTGCCAGCACCTGCCGGGAATCCTCGGCCCGGTCCTCACCGCAGTGGGGTGGAGGGACCCCAGGGACAGAGTGGCTGTCTGCCTCAATCGGAAGCTGGGGAGGAACAGACGCAGGATTTGAACTCGGAGTGCACTAGTCACATCCAAACAACACTCACTTACAAGGAAGGAAATCAGTCGCCTCAGGACAGAAGTCCCGCTAGCAGACGCTCCACCTACGGGTGCATCTACCGTGCAGTGGCGGCAAGACCCTGCCGGGCCCAGGGGCCCCTAGGAACCTGCTTCTCTCTGGGGTTCTGGGCTCCTGCTGGACGCATTCCAGGAGAGCTCGTGCGTCACAGGCTGGGTGGACGGAGTCCAGGCTGAGCGGGAGAGCCCCAGAAATGTGCCGTCCCAGGCGGCTTCTCAGAGGCAGGAGGGAACAAGGATGTGTGTGTGGCCTCACAGACAGAGTGCCCTGGGGGCCAGACGGAGGAGGAAGCGAGGGGTTGAGCCAGGGCAGTGTGTGGTGAGGACCATCCCAGGCCGCGGGAACCTGGGGGTGAGGATGACTTCTTGCTGGAGCCAAAGGGCCTCACCATTCCACCCCTGCCAGGCAGACGAGAGGTCCTGGCCCTCCCCACCAAGCACACGGGGGCAAGGCAGGGCATCTGGCTGCAGCATGACAGGCTTTGACCCTTGCTCACGGAGCTTGCAGGCGGGACAGAGATGGCGACCACCCTCAGCCATGCCCGGCTTGTCTGCGGTGGGCACTGGTTACATCAGCTCCCTCTGCATCTGTGTCGGGCCAGTGGGAGTCACTTGGACCTGAAGGAGCATGTCTGCGCCCATGCTCCTGCCCTGTGTCTGCTGGTGATGAGCTTCAGGGCACTTTGGAAGCCACGTGATGGCAGAGCCACAGACCAAAGGGGACTCGGGGCCCTGTGTCACCCAACCGAGAACCACAAAGGGCTTGGCGCTATCTGTCACGGCCCTTGTCAGCGCGTGACGAGCAGCACTGAAGGGGACTGGTCATCTGCATGATGCCCCTCAGAGATGTCTCTAGGGCAACCCCTGCACCTGACCACACAGCCTCTCGGGGGCGGGGGGGTAATTAAGGCTGCTAATGGGCTGACCTTGAGGTGAGACTAGGCTGGATTTTCCAGGGGGCCCTGGTGGTCACAGTCCTCCCAAACGGTGAGGGGGGCAAGAAAGAGAAACACAATGACAGATGAAGGGACAGGGAGATGCCACATCCCCGGCCTTGCAGATGGAGAGGGCCAGAGGCAAGGAGCACGGACGCTCCGGATGTTGGAAAAGACAAAGACGGGTCCTCCCCTGGAGCCTCCGTTAGGAACCGGCCCTGCAACACCGGGGCTTCAGCCCGCCGGGCTCCTGGCTTCCAGGGCCCTGGGACACGTCTTGTTCCGAGCCACCACGCGGGTGCGATCTGACACAGCAGCAGCAGACGGGAGCCCAGGCCTTGTCCAAGGCAAGCCACTGCCCAGGGGTGGCAGCAGCAGGAAGGAGAGGGCCTGTGGGATGGACCCCTGCCCCTTCCTGCAGCCCCCTTCTTCTCTCCCCTGGCTCAGGGACCAGCGGGCCCCCAAAGCAAGGAGTAAGTACAGAGACAGAGGTGGTCTGGGAGCAGGCAGACCTGCGACTCGGAGACCCAAGAAGCACACTGACTCCCCCAGCAGGCGTGGCCAACCCCAGCACCCCAATATAACAGGCGAGAAAGGAAAGAGTCCTGGAAACCCAGCTGTGGCTAGAGATTCAATCTTGGCCTGGTTTTCTGTGACTCGAGCAGTGGGGTGCGTGACTCCCATGCTCCCTATTAATAAAGATACTATTAACCACTTTTGAAATTGTTCCACAGCTCAGAAAGGGCGCCCAGGGCCCACGTGGCACAACTACCATTCGGCTGTTCCACATGACAGCACTGCTGGCCAAGCAGGCGCACGTCACAGAGACTGCAGGGAGAACGGCACCCCCTGCAGTTGTGCAGTAGACGACCTGCACAACCGCGCACGGCAGCCCTGCGCCTCCCTGGTGTCCCCCCCATGTCACTGACACTACACTATGAGGAAGATCTAACTTTATCACACCTGCCGGGCACTCGGAGCCACGAAGCCCTGGGCAGATTCTGAACCCGCAAAGGCTCCATAGCAGGGAAGTGGCAGCACTGAGGCTGGGAAACTTGAACCTCGACACCAAATCACACCCTCACTTATCACCCAAGGAGGCTGCGGACAGCAGAGACAATTGTTCTAGGAAAACCTGTCCTGGCGGGTGGTGATGAATGAGTGTCGTCTTCTGTCGCGCATGCAAGTGGCACATGAGAAATGGGCTGTTGTTTCACCAAAGGCCCGAGAATATTGGAAAGAGCGGGGCTCAGGTGCTGGCTGCCACCGCGGTGCTGGTCAGCCCAGAAGAAGCCCGGCCCTGGGTCCCAGCAGCCCCGCTCTACCCCAGCAGGTGTGCACGCCCCAGGCAGGGACTGAATGGGGCCCTAGAGCCACCCCACCTCTGCCTGGAGGGGAGCCGAGGAAAACACCATGTGTGTTCCTCGGGAATGTGGCTCAGAACCCCCACTTGACACAGGAGTTCTGGGGGGCACTTTCCTTCTCCCAACAAACAGCTATTTCCACACGCAAGGGGATCAGAAGGGACTGCAGTGCAGTGGGTACACACTTAACCTGCCCACTGCTCCCCAGCCTTCAGGAGAGGCCCTGCCCAACAGGGACGGAGGCCCGCGTGACGCCGGGAGTGACAGTGACAACAGGGAGGGTTCCACGGGAATGGCGGGACTGGTGCACGTGTGGGGTGCATGGGGGTCTGTCCCGTATGTGTGTCTGCGTGCACCCTGTGCGTAGCGCTCGCTGACTGTGCCCGACCCTGTGACCCCTGCCTATGTGTGTCCACGTGTCTGAACACGCAGGGCCCTGCCCCTCCCGCCATCCAGCTGGCAGTGCACAGCTGGAGTGGGCCAAACCGCCCGCGAGGAGAGGGGCAGGTGTGTCATAAACATTAGTCACTGTCAGGTTCCCGGCAGTGCGGCGGCTGCCAGGGGCTGCTGGGAGGGGCCTGGCAGACTGTGGGGCGGTGCTCCTGGCGGGTCTCGGCTGTGAACTGTCCCCACCCCGCGGCAGGGCCCCGACTTGGCGGGAAGCAGCTGGCTTGTGGGCTTGTGCCCCTGCCTGCCCAGGCGCCCCGGTGTGGGGGGCAGGGCCTATGTATGGCAGAGGTGGGGATGGTGAGGGAATTGCAAAGCCGGGCCACCCAGAACCCAGGGTACCTGCTGGAAGTGGCATCGCCAGGAGACTGGAAGTACAAATGAAGCCCAGCATCCCAGCCCCAGAGCCCGAGGGGCTCGGGGGCCGGGCCGGCCGAGCACGCTGTGTTCTGGCGCTGGTGCAGCCCAGGCACCCACCAGCCCTCCGGCTTCTCAGGTGAGGGAAGTAAGGCATGGAGCATGAGAGACACCTGCCCAAGGCTCTGAGGGACCTGGGGACCTGGGGGTTGGGGCTGGCGCTGGGGATGTCATCCTGCCCATCACCCACACACCATTCCTGGTGGCCAGGGCCATTCCCGGACTGAGGCCGGGCCCCACCTCATGTCGAGTCCACCTACAGAGAGAGGGGTGCTCCTGTGGGTAGGGCACAGGAGAGAGCTGGCTAGGAGTCTGGGGACCCCCTCCTTTCAGAGGGCAGGACACACATAGGGACCCACTCTGAGGAGCCTCATTGACAGAAATCCAGCTCGAGGGGCTGCCCTGGGACCCGCCCTGGGGAAGGACACAGTGTCCACCTAAGGGCTGACCAGGAACCCCGATGTGGTCGGCATCCCACGAGACAAGAGGGCAGCATCGCCCCCCACCCCCACACCCCTAGGCAAACGTACACAGCATTCCCCCGGGCCCAAGAGACACGGTGAGTTCACGACCGAAAGACACAGGAACCGTCCCCAGGCCACAGACAGGCGCATGGTGGGTTGAGCTGAACAAAGGAACAAGGGGCGCAGCAGCAGCACCCCGATGCATAGGCAGACGGAGCCCATGGCGTTGAGTAGGGCCGGGGTAGAGGTCAAGGCACCTCAGTGAGGTGAGGGCAGCAAATGAGACGGAATGTGCTGAATGTGGCTTTCAAAGCCCCTCCCACGCAGGCGCACATCGCTCCGGTACGCAGAGAAGAGAAGCTGGTGCCTACCTGTTCCCGTGAAGTCTGCTCCGGCCCCGTCCAGGCTGCTCTGCTGACACCGGGCTGGGCCCCGCTCCTGTGCTGTCCGCGGGCCTCTGGGCAGGCTCTCTGCTGCGGCGCCCGGCCGGGGATCAGGCTCCCGGGCAGAAGGGTGGCCGGCTGCCGGTGCCTCGAGAGAGGCAGAAGTGACCTGGAAGGACAGATGGTGGACATGGTGAGTCTCAGCCAGGCCTGTAGTCAGGTGTCCAATGGGTGGGCACCCCTCCTCCCCCAAGATGGCCTGCTCTCTGGTCAGGGACTCAGAGTGGCTGGGACGGGCACTGGCAGCGCAGGTCCCCAGCAGCAGCATGGTCTGGACCTCAGGCTCCTGGGGCTGGGTTTGCGGTCAGGACTGGACGCCACAGCCCGCAGGGTCGAGAGACTGGATGACCACGGACACTGTGGTCTCTAAGCCCTGCCTTGCCCTCAGCTCTGCATGGAGGCTGGTGAGAAGGGCCCACGAAGTTGTGACACTGTGACCATCCCTGGGCTCATCTTCAGCTCGCAGTGCGCCCCGCCCCATGCTTTTCTTGCCATTTTATATTCTTATTGTAGTAAAATACACATGATTTGAAATTCCCCCTCTTTACCAATTTTAGGTGCACAGCTCAGTGGCACTGAGCCCCTTCATGATGTTGCACAACCACTGCCGCCAGCCATTTCCAGAACATCCTCATCTTCCCAAACGAAACATCTTCTGTCTCCATAGACACCAAGTCGCCCTCCCCTCGGCCCCTGGAGCCACCATTCTACTTTTTGTTTCTATGAACAGATCCTTCTGGTCACTGGCCCCTTTCACAGTGTGGGGGTGGGGAAACTGAGGCTCCGAGATGGCGGCGTCCCCCGAGTCTCACCTTGGACCTATTAGGGGCCCTGCAGCAGGGGGGGCTGATGCCCCTGCAGCATGGTTCAGGTTTGGGGGCAGCAGCTTCATGCTGCTCCAGCTGGGGGTGAGTGTCCGAGATGGATGGTCCCACATTCCTCGGCGGCAAGGCTCCCCAGGCCCCAGGCATGAGACAGATGCATTTACCGCTGGCTTCCGGGAACATTTTCATTTATGGGATCCATATGGTGACGCGGCCCAGACCACAGCCCCACAATCCCATAGGCTGCGGTGGCTCCGGCTGGAGCCAGAAGGGGCAGCTCCTGGGGAAATGCGCTTTAGTCATTCACTCCCTCCCTCCCACAGGGGACCCCGGGGCCCCTCACAGATGCCCCCTGGGTTTTATGCCCTTACCTCATGCCCTAATGGCTTGGGGAAGCTGCCAGTGGCCAGGTGCTGGGCTCCCATCAGTCACAGATGGCCCAGACAGCCTGGAAGCCCTGGGCAAACCAGGGGTCAATGTGTAACACCCCAGTCCTGGGCGGTTGGATCCACACCACAGCCTGACCCCTGCCCCTGGCTGGCGGAGCAGAGCACAGGAAAGCCCTTGTCCTGCTTCTCCTGGCACTTTGGGGACCAGGGTCCTGCTGGGGGCCTGAGGGCTGAAGGGGGAGCCACGGATGGGAGAACCCCTTTACTGAGAACCTACTGCTGCCACCAACCCATGGTGGCACAGCCAATCCTCCCATGCCGCCAACAAGGACGTGGGGGCACAAAGACGATGGGGCCCGTCTGAGTTGCACCGTGACCTGGGAGCGGACGGCAGACAGCAGCAGACGCCGCCAGGAGGAGGAGGTGCAGACAGAGAAGGGCAGACGCTCTTGTTCCCTCCACCTCCCTGGACCAAGCCGCCATGTTTAAAGTGTCAGTCAATTTACAAAAATTTACTAATTTTTGTAAAAGTCAAAAGAGGGCATTTTCCAGGGGCCCCTCACAGAAAAGGGGGTCTGCAGCCACTACTGAGTATGCTGACGAGGCTCGCATCCTCTGCCTTCGTGTGGTTTCTAGAGAAAGACAACTCCTGTTAAACTTGGGGACAGGGATGGGGTGCAGTGGGGGAGACAGAACTAGGTCCTGACTCCGAGAAGGAAAGGCACGTGGCCGTGCTGCCAGCCCCCGATCTGATGTCATTATCTTTATTACTTTAGGAATGAACTCCCCAATCTGGGAGCCCCTGCTCTGTTCTCAAACAGCTCTATATAGAGAAAACGCACGTCTCATGCAATTCAACATCTAAAGTGTGTAATTTGATGGCTTTTAACACATTCATGACCTGCAGTCATGAACAAAAGACACGCCCCAGGACATCAGCACGTGCCCATGTGCCGCCACGCAGCCCCACCCACAGAGCTGCCCATTCTGACAGCTCACCAGACCACCTCCTACCACCATGGGCCTTAGGCCTGGCTTCTCTGCATCACAGCAGGGCCAGCTCCCAGGTCCCCTTGCCAGCTCTGGCCTGGAGCCCAGTATGGTCCAGAGGTCCCTGAGTTATGGGGGCAGGATCTGGGACATGAGTCCCCCACTTTTCCAAATCACGCTGAATCCTCTCTTTCTTCCAAGTCAGCTCAAGTTGCACCCCAGGAAGCCAACCTAGCTGATCCTGAGCAAAGATCTTTTCCTGCTGGCATATCCAGGCAGGATGGACTACTCTGTCCTCCAGTTATGCCTCTGGAAAATGGGTGAGTAATGCCTGCCCTGGCTTTATGAGCACCACTGTGTGCCAGGTACCTGCCAAGTACCTGCCATCAGCTGCCCATATGATCCTCCCAACAGCCCTACCTTAGTTACCATTTGGTAGAGAAGGAAACCACAGTGCAGAGACATCAAGTTAGCAGCCCAAGACTGCCAGCTGGGCTGCCAGAGTGAGATTCCAGGTCAGAGCTGTGTCCTGTGTCAGGAACCTGGACCCCACAGTACCAGGCACCCAGTAGGTGCTCACTGAAGAGCAGCGGGGCTGGTTCCGGCACCCACTGTCTCAGCAGACACCTGCTGCATGGCACCAGTTTCCACTGAGGGCAGCTGGCAGCGGGGAGGTTTGTTGATGGCTGGAATGGATCCATCTCAAGAGCAGGGCAGGGGGATGAGGTGGGGACCAGAACTGCAGGAAACAGAAGAGGGATACCAACCTCCTCAAAGCCCCAAAGAGACTAGCATGCCTTGCCACTGCCCCAAGGACCAACGAGGCACAGGCCGTGGCAAGTGCAGGGAGAAGAGCACAGACCCAGCTCCCCTCCCCCCACCCCGCAGCGAGGGCCAGGGGCAGGCCCGGCGGGCAGGCTGTGTGGGGACCACCGGACCTCTGCCACCTGTCAGGGCCAAGCAGGCTCCAGGACCAGTGCCAACAAGTCAGGAGGCGAGGACGGTGCAGGCCACGCTCCCACAGAGCCCACCCACGAGACGGAGGGGTAGGCCTGCTCTGGCAGCACGCTGGAGCGTCAGAGGCTGAACACCAGCATTTGACACCCCTTAATTCCCTGTAATTCTGTAACGGCAGAGAACTCCTAATACGGCAGCACAGGGGATGGATGGGAAGGCGCAGGGTCAGTGGGAGAAGAAGCCGCCGAATGCAGAGTCCCCGATAGGCAGATGACTAAAGGGTTATTAAACGCACGGCGTGGACCGGGCGTAATTGGAAAGTTATTAGATATGGAACACACACAGCACCCAGTAAATGAGTAATCAGGGACTAATTAAGCTCACGCGACACAGCAGATCGTGCGGGAGAGGCTGGTGGCTGCCACATCTGTGACAGCAATTAGGGGCGCACCGGCTGCGTGCTGGGGGGGCTGCCGGGTTGGGCAGGAGCCGTGGCCGGGGGTCTTAATCTGACTCTTCCCCACTGCATCCCGCAGGTTCTCCCACCTCTCCAGGAGCTGCAGGGGGGAGGAGGGAAACAGCAGGCTGATGAGGCCTACAGATGCATGGATACATGGTCCATGGCTCAGAAAAACAAACAAAGGTTTGTCCCTGGTGCCAGGTCTGGCCGATGGCAGCCACCCACGGGGACAGAAACAGTCATGTCTCTCCAGCCAGAATCTTCAAAGTGTGTGCACAGAACCATGTCGTGAGGTCCTTCCATGGTCTGCAGGCAGGCCAACAGGGAGTACGACCAATCCATTTTATAGAGGGGAAACTAAGGTAGGCACAGGGTGCCTCTCCCTGTGTCTGGAGTTGCTCAGGAGGACAGCAGCTAGGCCAGAGGAAGATTCGGGCCCAGAGGCAGTTATGTGGACAAGAGATGGCACAGACCTGGCACGCCCGACCCCCTGGTTCCAAACAGGTGATCACGGGCACACTTGCAGAGGGCGAGACTGAGTCAGGCCACAGCCTGGGGGCAGGAGGACTCTGTGCCTGGGCCAGCCCCAACACACATGTGCTCAACAAAGACAGAGCAGGAGGAGGAGGGGCCCGGCCTCACGGGCTGCAGAGGGAACCAGAAGGAACTGGTGCATTGGGGGTGCCCAGGTGAAGAATCTCTGGGTTCAACTGACACTGGGCTACCTGTTAGCCAGGAGCCACATTTGGACGCTGGAGGAGCAGAGGGTCACAGGTTACGACCACAGGATGTGAGGCTTGGGGCAAAGATGACTCCCAAGGGTCGGAGCTACAGGTGGTCAGCACCTACTAGGTGACTGGCCCTGGGGTAATCTTTGCAGGCATCAGTCCACTAAGCCTTAGATAGCTCTGGGGGCAGAGCTGTTGTGACCATTTTACAGGGCAGGAAACTGAGGCACAGAGAGGCTAACTTCCTTTTGGGGTTTGACCGTGCTGTGTCTCTAGTAGCTATCAGAGAGCTAGAGCCCGCTGCTGAGGGCACAAGAGAGTGCAGAGGCACATCAGGGTAGGACAGGTGTGGCCAGGACCAGAGAGGCCCAGGGGAGGCCGGGAAGATATTCCAGCAGCAGACAGGCTGGCATGAGCCAGGTGGGGGCAGGCTCAGCCCTAGTCTCCTCCCTCATGGGAAGCCGTGCTTATCCATCCATCCATCCACATGTAATCCATTCCTCCACCCACCTATCCACCTCTCCATCCATCTGTCCACCCATCCATCCACCCACCTACCTGTCCATCCATCCATCCATCCATCCATCCATCCATCCATCCATCCATCCATCCATCCATCCATCCATCCATCCATCCATCGAGTTATCTGTCCATCCAGTCTATAAATATTACTGAACAGCTACCATGTGCCAGGCAATGTGCTTGGGATACAATACCAACAATCAAATTTCCCGCAGTTAAAGAAGGAACTGATATTCTGT